GGCTAAACACGCCTTGACTGCCGCTGCTAGAACGGGATTAGACGTATTAGAAAATAAGAGATCTTTAAAAGACGCAGTCAAAACTCACGGCGTAAGAGCCTTGAAAAATACTTCGGGAATGGTGAAACAAAGAATGAATCTAGGAAGTAGTAACAACAGAAGAAAAAAGACCCCTATGTTAGCCCGAGGAGGTCCTAAGAGAAAAAGGAAAAAACAAGGAGGAATTCCTAAAAGAAAACGTCCTTTAGATGTGTTTGACTGAGAGAGAGAGAGAGAGAGAGAGAGAGAGAGTATAAATAGACCAATCCAGGGAACAGAAGGTTCATTTGTGAAAACTGAATCCTAGTAGACACATCATGTTACAGCCCGATTCCTGTGCGTGTGGGATGAACAATTTACAATTGTTCCAAGTCCCTCCGACTAATATTGCTTTAGAAGACTCGAAATGGGAAGAATATTACCCCATTTCCAGTACTTTAGATTCCGACACCGCTCCCATCGAATTTGAAATCAAAGGACAAGGAGATCACTATCTGGATTTATCTCAAACTTATCTTCAAATGGTATGTAAATTTACCAAAGACGATGGAAGTAATCTGACTGGGGCGAACAGCACTTCGAGTCCCGTGAATAATATCTTACATTCCATGTTTACGGAAATCGATGTCAGTCTGAATGGCAAAATAGTCACCCCGGGGACGGATACTTATCCTTACAAAGCTTATCTGGAGAAATTATTGTCATACCAACCCAGAACTTTAAAGACACAGACCAGGGCCTGTAGTCTGTGGGAAAAAGATACGGCAGGACACATGGACGAAGTGGGGTTAGAGGACCTTGGTCTAGCTGAAAATAAAACCTTTAATGTAACTCCGGGTCAAAATGGTGGTGCCGACACAGTGACCATTAACAAACCCATCCTCACAGCGTTACCGGCCAATTCTAAAAACGAAGGATTCCGAAAAAGACACCAAGCTATTGCTGACAGTAAGAAAATCAGTTTGCTGGATACTTTACATTTGGATTTGTTTCAACAAGATCGATTTCTACCCAATGGAGTGGACGTCCGTTTGCGATTTAATCGAGCTAGACCCTCTTTCTACATGATGATCAAAGGAGGAAGTACAGGAAAAGTGAAAATATTGAGTATGATCTTGTGGGTGAGAAAAGTCAAACCCACAGCAGTCATGATGAATACCATTAATCAGAGTTTGAATACCCACAGAGCCAAATATCCCTTGAGAAGAGTGGAAGTGAAAACCTTTACCATTGGCTCAGGAACTCAGTCTAAGATTACGGATCATCTGTTTCAAGGTCAGATGCCTAAACGTCTCATTTTAGGCTTTGTGGAGAATGCGGCCTTTAACGGAGATAAAACTAAAAATCCCTTTCATTTCCAAAACTTTGGGATCAAGAAATTAGATGTCAGTATCAACGGAGAGACCATGAGTACTCGTTGTTTTGAGCCTAATTTCAACGACGATTTATATCTGAGATCGTATCTCAGTCTGTATCAAGCTCTGGGAAAATTAGGAGAAGATTGGGCTCCGGACATCACCCTAGAAGAGTATAAAAGCGGCTACACTCTATGGGGCTGGGATTTCACTAAAGATCAAGAAGCGCAATCGGATAAATTCCACATCATAGAAACAGGAAATCTGAGAGTAGAAGTGCAGTTTACCAACAATACGGCTACCACCATCAATTGTGTGGTGTATGCAGAATTCGATAACTTATTAGAAATTAACAAACAGAGAGAAGTGAGCATTGATTACTAAAAAAAATGGATACGGGACAATTGAGAGAAGTCTTATCCAGAGAATTCAAGAGTTCTTTTGGAGGCGTGTATCCTGTAGATTTATTACCGGATCAATTAAGACCTGGAGAAAAAGCTGTCGTGGTCAATACGGATCCTCAAGATCGACCTGGAGAACATTGGGTGTGTCTATATGTGAGCAATCCCGTGGTGGAATATTTCGATTCTTATGGATTTCCTCCCTTACAAAAAGAAATTCAAGATTTTATCCAGCGTCATGCTCAGCAATGGATTTATAATCCGTATCGCTATCAAGACTGGAATACCGATGTGTGTGGACAATATTGCGTGTATTATTTACATCAAAGAGACAAGAAAAGAAAGAAAACCGACGAGTGGCTATTCCCCTTTGACCAGAGTACGGCTTTACAAAGGGACAGATACGTGGCGAATTGGTTTAAAAACACTTATCATAAATTACCTACGGGTCATGGACAAAAGTGTCAATGTTTTTATCAAAATGTATTGTAAATGAGTTGTTTGTTGTTTGTTGTTGTTTGTTGTTACAAAATAAAGAATGAAAAAAAAAAATCTGTGTTCTTATTATTATTTATGTGTTAGTGTTTTCAGTAAAAAAAATCCAGTTTGAAACTGGTTAGGCTAGACTGAGCTATTGACTGTGAAGCGTGACGTCATAATCTTGAATCGGTGCCAAGTATTTACCTGTATAGTCAACAAGCCCTAAGTTTTTGCACACGGCCCTTACAGATGATGCAACAGATATAAAAAGATGATGCAACAGGTATAAAAAAGATGATGCAATTCAAGGTGGGGGGGTATAAAAACAAGGTGTTAAAGACGATGCTCCTCAGTTGGTGGGGCATGTGGTTGAGTAAACGACAGTTTGGCAAACGAATTCCAAGAATATTAGAAGAAGAAGACATGGAGATGGACAAAGATAAATTTGCCTTATTAGAAAAGAGAATGACGGAACCTATGGAGGGGGATCACGAAGCTCCTCAATCAAAAAGAAGAATGGAGTTGAAAACCCTGGATCCGGAACCTAGGAATGAATATTTACCCATGCATGAGGATCCTAAATGTCCACTATGCCACCCGGAGACCTGGGAACCTATGGGGGATCACAACGCTCCTCAACAAAGAAGAATGGAGTTGAAAACCTTGGATCCGGAACCTAAGAATGAATATTTACCCCTGGATGAGCCTGTGAAGGATCCTAATGATCCAGACAGAAGTTACAGGATAGCCATTAATTGGACTTTCACCATTAAAGAGCCTAAAGAAGAAGAAGATATAGACATGTTTCTGAGCAACCAAGATGATTTCTTCTTCGGTTTCCAGTATTTGATTATACAAAAGGAAAGACATCCCTGGACAGGAGAACTGCATCAAATCAGGGGATTCATTCAAATGAAGGAACCAGAAGGAGGACTGACTATGTGCAGACTTCATATCACTGCTGATTTTGCCATGTCTCACAGTACTCCAGAATTGGAAAGTATGTTTTACAAACAAGGAGGTGACTATGAAGAATATGGTGTTCTGAAACCTGAGGAGAGAAATAAGGAATTGGAGCCCAGAGATTGGATAGAATGGGAGATAGGAGCTTGGAAGAAACCTGAAGCTATTGAAGCCAGAGAAGCTAGGAAGAAAAAGTTCTTAAAGAATGTGAGCTGGTCAAGATGTGAATAAAAAAAAAAAAAAAGATTTGAACTGTTATTTATTGTTAGATCTCAATAAAAGAAAAAAAAAAATGTTGGGTTTTTGTCATTTTTTTAAAAATAAGTTATCTCCCTTTAACCATAGATTTTTTCAAAACACACAAAACAAAAAATGGTTGAGGGTTTTTTTAAAGATTGGGGGAAAAATTGATACAATTTTAAAAAAGGTATAAATAGTAAACATGGTACAAAACACACCTCAGTTGTGGACTGGTTTCATTATGGGTAAAACCCCCAGTAAAGAAATGAGTCAGAACACTAGATTAAAGGAAACTGAATGGTTACTTATACAGGAGGGAGGAAAAGATATCATACCACCTCCCTTGATGGTAGAACATCCTGCAGTATTTATACCACCTCCCTTGATGGAAGAACATCCTGTAGAATATAAACCTCAGGAGGAGGAAAAAGAAAACATAAGACCAAACAACAAACTCTTGGAGGATATTAAGGCTCATTATCAAAACAAACACAAAGAAAATACAGGCAATGGATATATTGCTTACTTAAAACAAGACAGAGGTAGAATAGCCAATAATTGGATATTCATTTTACCTGGGTGCCGACAGGAAGATGTAGATCAAATCATTGGAAGTGATTATCAATACTTGATCTTACAAAAAGAAAGGCATCCAGAAACTGGAAAACTTCATCATGTGAGAGGATTCATTCAAATGAAAAACAGAGTTCAAGGGATATATCTGTACAGAAAGATTCATAAATTAACCTGTTTTGAGATGTCTTACAGCACCCCAGAATTGGAAAGAACTTTTTATAGACAAGGTGACTATGAAGAATATGGAGTTTTAAAACCTGATGTGAGAAACAGAGAATTAGTTCCAAGAGATTGTAGATTTACCTGAATAAAAAACTTGTTTTATTGTGTTGTTGTTGTTCTATAAAAACAAGGGTGTTTTTAAAAAATAGATTCATTTTACATCATGAGTCTCCAGGAGATACAAGGTGATTTACTCAACTGTGAGGTAGAAGCTATTGTTCATCAATGTAATTGTTTAACAGTCAGAGCTCATGGATTGAGTCAAAGTATTGCAGAGAAATTCCCACAAGCCAATCTCTATGCCACCCGCAGACCTCTAGGGTCTAGAAATTTAGCCGTAGAAGAAGATAGAGGAATTCCAGGCACTATTAAGGTGTTTCCCTCACAAACCCCTGTGGTCATTTGTTTACTAGCTCAATGGGATTATGGAAAAGCAAGTCACCGACCTAAAAGAATTTCCACTTATCAGGATACCCCACAAAACAGAGAGCAATGGTTTCAAGCCTGTTTACAAGAAATGGGGGAAAGTTTACCTTACCAGACTTATGCTTTTCCTTACAAGATTGGGTGTGGACTAGCCCAAGGAAATTGGATTCATTATAGACATTATATTGAACAATTTGTACACACTTATGAAAAAGATGTGTACATTCTTCATCATCATCATTAATTGTGTGTTTTCATGTGATGTAAAATAAAGAAGGAAAAAAAAAAGTACCTTTTTATCTGTCATACTCTAAAGTCTGTTTTAAACAGGAGATGAAGGTCCACAGCAATCCCCATGCACTCATAAGCAGATCCCTGGAGGGGGTCAGTAGAAACACTCAAGTAGTTTTTTTTCTTTTCCCCTGTGATATAATGTCAAATATTTTAATGGAAAATTCAGAAATTTTATTAGCACTTAAAGATTAAAAACTTGCTATCTTTATGGTATTGATTTCCATTATCAGATTTTATTTTTTAATCCATTTTAAAAATATAAACATTTAAAATAAAAACTCATAATAATAATAATTAAATAAATTAAAATGATATTGAAACTTTTTTTAGATTCAAGTTTTGTTTTTATCATAATTGATTCACTGTGTATTTCCCAAAGGAAGACCAGCAGCCAGGCTTCACTTCACTTAGAGAATGGATTGGTTAGGAACAAAACATATCTTCCAGGTTTGAGGACTGTATAGAAAAATAAAACCCATTTTTTGTTATTATGAAATTACATGAGACAATGTCTCTTATAAATGTAATGCAAAATAATATCTCTTATATATATATGGATACCTATAAAACTTGCTATCTTTATGGTATTGATTTCCATTATCAGATTTATTTTTATCCATTTTAAAAATATAAACATTTAAATAATTATCTTAATAATAATTAAATAAATTAAAATGATATTGAAACTTTTTTTAGATTCAAGTTTTGTTTTTGTTTTTTATCATAATTGATTCACTGTATATTTCCCAAAGGAAGACCAGCAGCCAGGCTTCACTTCACTTAGAGAATGGATTGGTTAGGAACAAAACATATCTTCCAGGTTGAGGACTGTATAGAAAAATAAAACCCATTTTTGTTATTAAATTACATGAGACAATGCCTCTTATAAATGTAATGCAAAAATAATATCTCATATATATGGATTCCTTTACTCTAATCATATTAAATGTCATTTTGTAAAATGTATTTTTTTAAAAGACAGATTTTATTTTTAGGATGTACTTTAAATGATGTCATGAATAGCAGGCCATACTTTAAGCACATGACAAAAACATTTTCTCAAATTACACAGAACTGGGTTATTTAGCATAGCTGACATTAAACATATAGGTGAGCGATAACATAATCACATTCATAAACGATGTGAAATAACTTTAAACGACCTACAGGGTGGATTACAAGCCTTTTTCACTGGGGTAAAATCTTGACGAGATTCATCATGGCGGCATAATTTACATAGAAAATTAAGTCGTACTTGAACACATAAAATTTTTTTTTTAAAAGTGACCTGGTGTTATAACTTGAGAGAAACACAATGTTTCTTTTTTTTTATTGACTGTTTAAGTAGGCATCTTTTCGAAACAATTGGGTAGCCCTTAAAAGGGCTTGTTTTGTTATTTTTGTTGGTTTTGTAGTTTTTTTTGGTTTTTTCTAGTTTTTTGTAGTTTTTTTTTGGTTTTTTCTCTGGTTTTGGTTTCAGGTTTTTTTTTGGTTCCCCGGTATCTTCTTTTAATGGGCTAGAAGGTGCTGGACTACATGACCTGACTGCATGCCATCATCGGAATCCTGGTCGGAATCAGTGTCTGACCTTCTGGTATTGGGCTGCACTAGAGGCTCCGAATTACGACACAAGGGGCATGGTAGACCCCGCTCTACTATGCGACCTGCACACAAGATGCATGCAGGCCGTTGGAGGCAGCGACCGCATACAAAGTTACTGACCTCGTCTTCCATCATACAGAGTGAACACATAATATTTCGCATGGAGACTCCAAACCCCCAGGGGGGAATCCTCCCCTGGTTCCTTGCTTGACTTTGGGGGGTGACTGTAGCTGGTCTGGGTGTAGTGGGTCTGGAAGGGGGTGGCGGTGGGGGTGGCGATCTTGGTGCCTCTCTCCGGTACGGGTGGGCCCTCCGTCTATGGCTGTCGTTCACTTGAAATCTTGCTAGATTGATTCTCACGAGCTCCCTTTGATTATCCAAACGCCTCAGAATTAAAACATTTTCAAAGGCAATTCCGGGGATGAGAAATAGGTCCTCATAAAAAAAATTCCCTCCGGACATCTTCTTCTTTCTTCTACTTTTCTTTCTTCTCTGGTAAAACAGGCAGGCAGGAATGACGCCGAGCGCTCGGAGGCTCTGTATTTATAAACAATAGCAGACGATACTGCAATATCGCGGCAAACATCGATAATCCATCATGTGATTAAAAATCCTGACCTGTGATAGGTTATCACAAAAAAATCGCTTTTGGTCATGTGATCAAAAAACTGTCGAATTCTCCTCCGAAATCTTATTCGATCCGCTACTAGGGCCATCCAGGGACTTCTCCGGTCTTCGGGGGGTAATTCGTAGATTTGATTGAGGCTGGTATTAAAAGTCACGGATTTCCTAGCCTGTGTGAAATTTCCAGGTATTTCATTCCGTATTGAATACATACTTTCTCCATCGCATCTATGTCCTGCCACAATAAAATCACTTTGCCCGCTTGGGGATGGGTCAGGAAACTGTAAGGCTTTCCGAAATAACGGGTCAGGTTCAGTCCGTACCATTTCTGGGGCAGAATTGTTTTCATATGTCGACATAGAAAATGTATGGTAGCTAGTCTCCCCATGGTCGTCGCATGATGTGATAAGGTTAGGCATTGTAACCATAAATCCTGAAGGGTTTCCATGATAGTGGTGGCTTCCTGAAATACTTGTTCTGCCTCCGGGGGTAGAGATTCTTGGTGGTTTTGTGCCCATCGTACTAAACAATCATACCCATCTAAAATCAGAGAGTGAGTGTGTATCAGGGTTGACATGATAGTCGATTGTGACGTATAAAACGTAGGTAAATCGTATATTTTTTGCACACGGTCCCCCTTACAGGTGATGCAACAGGTATAAAAAAGATGATGCAACAAGTATAAAAAAGATGATGCAACAGATATATAAAGATGATGCAACAGGTAGAAAAAAGATGATGCAACAGATAGGTATATAAAGCGGAGCTGGGATTTGAGGATCAGTCTTGCTTGACATTTCGAACTTGACAGACGTGAAAAAAAAATATTATGGCAGAAGCAATGATGAATACCCCACACAACCCCAGCTATGTGATACCTGAAGGGTATGTAGGAGCCCCCATGCCAGAGTCACAGGATGCAGTGGGATTAGATTTGGGCATGTATAATCTTACAGCATATGCAAATAAAGAAGATATGGACATCTTAAATACAGCTCTGGCTGGGATTGTTAACATGCTGTCTGGTCTTGACAACAAGCTGACTGATCTGAAAAGTTACATCACTAAAATGAAAGGAGGAAGCACTTACCAGAAAAAACAAGGGGGATCGGGAGAAAAAAAGAAAACCAGACAGACGGATCCATGCTTCATCTGTAAAGAGTTAGGGCATTGGGCCCCAGATTGTCCCCGAAAAAAACAGGATTCGTGCTACAAGTGCGGGAAATCTGGTCATTGGGCTAATCAGTGTACAGAGGATGAGGAGGATCAACAATTCGCCAAAGAAATACAAAAAATGGAGAAAATGCCTCAGGAACCCAAGAGGAAACTACCCCTGACCACTGATAAGGCACAGAAGAAGAAACAGAAAATGTAAATGTATTTTTTCACTTGAATAAAATTGCTGTGTTCTTGTTTCTATTGTGTGTTATTGTTTTTTCATTTTCGGAAAATCACTGTGAATGAGTGACGTCATAATCAAATTCTTGAGTATTTGCCAAAATCGTAGTAGCAGCGTTGTGAATCGTAGTAGCAGCGTACCAATGTAAACACAGTGTAAACACACCCCGTATTTAGGGGGATTATATGTACTGAATTGACCCGCCTATCCCCCACAGGGGCTGCACTCCCTTGACCCGCCTATCCCCCCCAGGGGCTGCACTCTGTTGACCCACCTATCCCCCACAGGGGCTGCACTCCCTTGACCCACCTATCCCCCTCAGCCCCAAAAGTGCACTCAGTTGACCCGCCTATCCCCCCAACCCCAAAAGTGCACTCAGTTGACCCGCCCATCCAGACCGTTTATACTACTCACGCAAATTTGACCCCACGAAAATTTATGATTTTACGGTAACTTTGTACTTGGTTAGTTTATTTAATACCCAGGAGCAGAGAAGAAGATTTAAAAAAAATTATGCAATTTCATTGCAGCCCGGAGGACCGGGCTGCTCTATACATATAAGTTTAAGTGTTGGTGTATGGGGATTGGGAGGGGAGTAGTTATTTAGAATCAAAGGTTTTCTAAACATTGAAAAAAATGTTAATCAGAATGTTCTTTCCGTTTATAAATTACGACATACATAATATATTTACTTCCATAAAGTGAATCTGTAAAAATATATATGTTTTTCATATTTAATATATAAAGTTGCTTATGATTTACTATCAAAAAACGACAGGTCCCTTTTTTTTAGAACATCGAATTTTACTTCTCGGATAAAAACGTACTCTACACATTCGTGTTTTATATTCTAAAATTGAAAATTAATACATTTTTAAATATAAGTGATGCGTGTCTTTATCTTTAATTTATATTTTATACAGCCAACATTTACTTGAGGAATTGATCAAGTTTTAAAATGGTATCGTTTTTGATTGATTATTATCCGACTTCAAGTTTTCAAAATATCCGCGATCATCGTCTTCATCAATTAGACACATGTTTTTTCACACATATCGAAGCGGTTTGATGATCAAGACTCATTTTTTAAAATTTTTTACTTTATATATTTCCCGGGCGACAATTGATGGATACATCAATGTTTTCTTGTTATATAATTAATAGAGCCCCGGCCTTACACCAGAACCCCTAACCCATGGACTATAAAATTCACAATTTTGGTAGAGGCAGCCTTATTCAACATAACTATGTACTTGGTTAGTTTATTTAATGCCCAGGAGCAGAGAAGAAGATTTTCAAAGAATTTATGCATTTTCACTATTTAATCTATTTAGCCCCGTCCTAACACTTGAATTTCACAATTTTGGTAGAGGGACTCAATGCTGATCAGGCACGTAGCATCGATTTTCAAAGTGGGGGGGCCAGCCACAGAATTTTTTTTTTTTACTTACCTGAAAAAGTTGACAAGCAAAAAAAAAAAAAAAGAATTTCCCTAAACTTGAAAATCCGATTTCGTTGGGGTGGGGGTGGGGGGTGGGGGGGGGGGGTAGAGCCAAACTTTTTTCACTACCAATTCCTTTCAATATCCATTTTTAGCTCTACTGGTCAGAGACCAGAAGAGCTTATGCGATAGTAATGCGTCCGTCGTCCGTCCGTCTGTCTGTCTGTCCGTCTGTCTGTCTGTAAACAATTTTTCAAAATGCTACTCCTCCTACAGTTTTGGTCCGATTTCGATATAACTTGGCACACAAGTAGACTACACTGAGATACATAATTTTGTGCATCGGTTTTTGATTTGGATGAACGGTGTTGCAGTGGTTACTAAAAATAGAAATTTCTGTGAAATTCTTTCAAAATGCTACTCCTCCTACAGTTTTGGTCTGATTTCAATATAACTTGGCACAAAATTAGACTACACTAAAATACATAATTCTGTGCATCGGTTTTTGATTTCGATGAACGGTGTTGCCATGGTTACTAAAAATAGAAATTTCTTTGAAATTCTTTCAAAATGCTACTCCTCCTACAGATTTGGTCCGATTTCAGTATAACTTGGCACACAAGTAGACTACACTAAGATAACATAATTCTGTGCATCGGTTTTTGATTTCGAAAGAATGTTGCCTTGGTTACTAAAAATAGAAATTTCTGTGAAATTCTTTCAAAATGCTACTCCTCCTACACTTTGATCTGATTTTGATATAACTTGGCAAATAAGTAGACTACACTAAGATACATAATTCTGTGCATCGGTTTTTGATTTCAATGAACAATGTTGCCATGGTTACTAAAAATAGAAATTTCTTTGAAATTCTTTCAAAATGCTACTCCTCCTGCAGTTTTGGTCTGATTTCAGTATAACTTGGCACACAAGTAGACTATACTAAGATACATAATTCTGTGCACTGGTTTTTATTTTGATGAGTGGCAAGGATTATTTTTCTATTTATTGCTGATTTAAAGTCTCAAGTCCCAACTGCTACTTTTCTCTTCCTTTGTTTTAAGTATAAACCAGTAGAGCTACAGTCTCGACAGAGACTTCTGGTTTAAGCTTACAATACTATTTCTCTTCATATTA